TCATTAAGTAATCAATAAATTATTGTTAAGATATATTAAGTCATCGATCTGTTTATCTCTTTCATTGAATATAGAGTCTTGTCCGTATTGGAGTCATAGTACACAGCATTTAAAGATGTATTATATGTGAAATTATATATGTACATTTGTGTGATGTGAATGATATTGTCACATTACTGATTTTGTCCAACGATGTATTACATAGCTGTTAAAGATAAAAATAGAAATAATCTACAACTGTTGTGAATTAGAAAAATTTAATAAATTTATTTGGAAGTTTTATTTGAAATTATAAAAAAATATAATATGAGAAAATTATAATTATAAATAAGGTAAAACAATATAATGGATCCATTTTCATATTTTGAGATCTGAATAAAAAAGAACAATTGAAATGAAATGTATTTTAGGTTATTTTTTTTGTCTATTTCTATTGTGTATTGGTCACATTTTTGTCATCTATACCTTATAATTATTTTACACACTATTAATATAAATCTCACTCATATTTAGATCGATTAGTGCAATCTAATATGTGTGAACAATAAAATGCATCAATTACATTTTTTGTCATACATTTTCGAACATTTAATTTTTTTTAACATTTTGTACGCTTTTGTCAGTATAAAAATAGTTAGTGTTTATATGTATCAATGGTTTTTGGACAATTATAGGATAGAATATTTATATAAATAAGACATAAAATATATATTGTTAAAAATATTTATGAATATTTATAAAAACAGTAAATTATATGACGTGGCGTATAAAAATTATTAATCAATAAAATATATTGTACAATGTATGTGGGTAACATTTATTTTAAAATAAATCGTATACCTATCAAAATTTACAAACAGATAACAGACAACAGATTGATAAACATAAACAAATACTTAATTCCTCAGTACAAATATTATTCAAATACAATTTTTTTTTACTATGATAATTTTATTTCTAAATTTGATTTAGCTATATTGTGTGTTTTAGTTATAATGAAAATGAGGCCAATTTTCTATACATAAAACACAATTGTCAAGACACTAGTATTAACTTATTAGTGAACTTCGTATTTTTGATTACATTTTATCGATTTTATGCTTACATTATTCATATTGTTTTTCATATTTATTTGTAAACATTTGAAATTTAATTTTTAAATGTAATAAAATAAATCTACATAACATTCAATAAGAATTTTTAATGCTTTCCTAAAAACCGATTCTATATTTTCTTGGAACGTAGCTGTATGAATGTAAGCATATTATTTTATATTGTACGAATAAAATTTTCAATTAGGTTTTAAACTGTATTAATATAAGTATATTTTTTTACATTTATGATGCATATAACACATAATCAATAGTTTTAACATTAAGTATTTATTGTTATTATTTTTATAAATATAGATGTATACTTCATTGTTTACTCAAGTTGACTCTTCGGATTTCTATAGATATACAATCTATGACAGCCGACAGGTATAAATCTTATTTACATATATGGATAATATTATTTCTATTGTAGATGGATTTTTATATTTATGAACACAGACGCGCTCCAGTAGTTTTTAAAGTCACCATTGTTGTTATATATTGTATTGTATTCTCAAACGATATATCTAAGTATACTTGTGTGTGACTTAACAAGAAAAATAAAGCTAAACTAGACGAAAATCTCACTTCTATTGTTATGGATATTTCCAGAACTGTTTATAAAATAATCAGTATTGTAGAATAATATATATATATTTATATGTATGAACCAAAATAAAGAATATTTTCTTTGGCTATTGTTAGGGAGTTAAACTAAAAATCGGTTTATCATTTCATTCTTTCTGAGTTCGAGTTTTACAAAAAAAAAAAAAAACTTATACACACTAAATTACACTATAATATATAAGTAATGAAATGTCTATTCTTTGACTGTCGAGCAATCGTATGTAGTTGTTTACCCCTTGTTCGTGCTTATCCATTTATTAACAACAATAAAAAAAGAACATAAGTGTCATGTTCATGTTTAATATTATAACTATAGAATATTGTTTAAAGCAAGTTAATTAAGTCTTAATTGACATGCTGCTGTGGCCATGATTTGATACTTCATGGTGAACCGCACGGTCGGTTTTAAACATTATTATAACATAGGCACGGTAAGAACAAATAACTGACCCGTTGAATGTCCATTATATATTATGTTTATATGTATATTCATATACATGTACATGAATTTACATGAATAATATAAAACATCTCACAAGATTTTTATCTTGAATGATTTCACAATTGTTATATATATATATATATATATATATACTTGAAATATAATAATATTTTGATAGGTGACACTCTCATTATACATTGAAGGTACTGTTAAATACGTCTAATCAATCTATATCACATCGAAAACTGTTATGTTTTATTGAAAAATAACAGTCGATGGGTTTTAAAAATTCATTCATACAATCTTATAATGTTGTGCATCTAGATCGTATACAGTAGATTTTAGATCCGAAATAATAACCACAATTTTAACGGTACACATTATTTGAAAACTATTTAATCCATGATGTAAAAAATATACATTTTAATCAAATGCATTCAAATCAAATAAAATAAATACAGACAAAGAAAATGATCTATTTATAATTATCATACAACTATGTATCGATAATCATCGATAAATATCGATAAGCACACACTAAAATTACATATAGACACAACTGCAATAAAATTTCCCCTCGATTAAACCTATAACAGTTTGTTTCTATGACCCTTTGCTTTTCCTGGATAGATTTTACCTTACTTCCTTTGTTATCCCAAGCGCTACGTCACATGCAATACGTCATGATTATGAACTTTAAAATTGCTATAATTGCAGGAAGTACATTGTTGACGTAGTGCAATATCAACGTCACTGTTATTGTTATAATATTGCAATATTTAGGTAGGTACACGTAAAAAATCGTTTGGAAATTATTTTTAATTTACATTAATTTTTTGCTGTTGGACTTTATAATAATAAAATGTTTTTTTAAAAAAACAAACATATACTCATATATTCATCTGAATTGAATAACAAGTTAATATGATTTTTGAGTTAATTTGAATAGTAAAATTTAAATTATTTTACCGTTAGAATATTTCCAATACATATAAAAATAAAAATAAAAACAAATCATACTTTTCTTTGGCTTTTCATTTTTTATTTTTTTATTTATTTATTATTATTTTTTTTTTTTACAAACGAAATCAATACAATAGCACATCGTCTTACAACACTTCGAAGGTTGTTGCCCTTTCGTATTTGGCCTATAAACTGATGATGTAGTTATTTGAAACAAAAATTTATAATATTACAATATTAATATAAAATTAAGAATATTTTATTCTACTATTTGTATATTTACTATACGATATGACTGAATGAGTATAACATGTATTAATTCATTAATTTAAAATTATATACAAGTGATACGTTAATAATTAACATATATTTAATAAATTTGAAATAAAAATTTATGTGCTTCAAAAATAAACTAACATTTTAAAATATTAAGTAAATACTTAATTGTTTAAATCCTATGGTGTTATAAAGCCGTTTAATGATTTTTTATTACTTTTTTTTTCTGTATAATACATGTATATTAATTAATTTCAGATTATCTGTCACTTAATAAAATAATTTCATAAAACTCAACATAGATCAATTCATATAAGGTACACTATGAAATATAATATAATAAAATATTGTTAAATATTATGTTAGGTTAGTTAATTTAAAATAATATATAGATTTACTGAATTCATATAATTACAGTCAGTACAGGAATATTATAATTTGTCAAATAGTGAATTATTTATAATTTGACATACTAGCTTTAAATATTCGTTAAAAATAAAATTGATTGATTCAAAACAATTAGTGCTGAATGTCACGCCCATGTTGGCCTTTTAAAAATGTGTAGGTAACACCATTAAATATAATGTATTACAGTCATAATTATTTTGGGGGAAGGAATGGTTGATGGAAACGTTTTATTAAGGTAATTATTTGGCCATGCGTGTTCAATAAAGTTTTTATTTTGTACACGTACAAATTTAAATCTACGAAGAAAATACAACCGATCATCTCAAAGTTTCCGTTAACTTACTACTCTACTCGCATAATTGAATACCTACATTTAGTTCATAAAATTATAAATATTAAAAAAATTATCATCGAATAGGAAACGTAATATATATATATATCAGTTTTACCAATACGTAATTGAATCGCACATTCAAAATTTCAGTTTATAACAATTTATGATGTGAAAGTTTTCATTTATGAGGTCAAAAAGTTTAATATGCCTTTCACGGTCATAATATCAACCTTGACAAAGAAAAATTACCCAATCAATTGTTATGCTTTTAAAATAATAATAAAATATTTTTAATACAATATAATACCATATCGAATTTAACTTTATTTTAATTTATTAAGTACTACATTAAATTTGAAAGTTTATCGAAAATATCGAAACATTGGTTTAATTAAACTTATAGATGATTTTATTAGATTTACAATACCATATAATTAATTCTATAATTATTATTTATTTTAAAAGTTTAAACTATAGTATAACTATTTATTTTCCTAAATTATTACTAACGAAAAGAATATTTTATTAGACTTTTTTTAAAAATATTTATTTCGTTTTATTTCGTATAGTATAATAAACAAATATTTTTAATAATTGCCATGGCACAAAATTAAAATAACCACTGTACAAATACAGGTTATGGAAACATTTATTAAATTTAATGTTATTTTTATGTGCCCTTAAAAAACAAATTAAATATAATCAATTAAAATAGTTAACTAGTCAAATTAAAGATTAAGTATTAAGTAACTAGTTTAAGTGTTTTATTTTAAAAATTAATTAATTTACATAATTATAAAATATATAAATTATATATTATAAAATTAATAATGTACCATCAGTAAATTTGACTTACCCAAAAGTAGTAATGCGAAATCGAGGAACAAAACCCAATATTTTTGCTTAAACATTATAAAAATTGTACAGTTTTAAAATTTTAAAACAAAATAAAATTATTATATGAACACTAATGAAATATTTTAAGTTAAAAATAATTGTATTTATTTAATTTCACAAGTTGATATTATAAGCACCATGTGATAGCATGAATCGAAAAACCTACTTATCCAACGACAGTCCGATTCAATGGTTACCCGGTGAATGGCCCATCCGATTGTGTTATGCGTTACTAGTAGTACCGTGTCGACACTAACTACTACTATTATGATATAGGTACACGTATATACTATATAATGACGTGAACGTTCCGTTATCATGGCTTAGGTGAATTGCATTTTTTTTTAACACATGCCCTTCGATGTAGTAAAATATAAGATGGTTTATAAATATATATTATTAATAATAATAAAATTAAAACAATAAATTGTTTCAACATTATTATTTAAAAACGTTAAATAACACGTTAATAACACGTTACACTATACAATAAATGTAAATAAAATCGTTTAACAAAGTTCAAATAAAAAAATGTAAGCCTTATGATAAATTTAATAAACAATAATCTATTTGATAACTATAAATTATGTGAGTACATTAATTAGATTTACAACATCTATTTTGAATACACCTAGTATATTTATAAGCATCAAGTTCGTGAATATTCTAATTTTTATGCATCTGGAATATTTCTAAATTGAATAAGAAACTAATTTTTAGTTCCAAAAAAATATAATATATATGTTAGTGGTGGGTTGAACTATTTTGCTTGTAGTAATATATAATTATAATAGCATAATAAAATAATACAATAAACATCGTATAGAAATTGAAAATAGGTATAATGTCTGTACTATTTGTTTATAAGTAAGTACATAATATTCCTTCATTTATATAAATCTACCCATAGTTAAAACTATAAATTCTTAGTACGAGATTTATCCTATTTAATTTATCATCTTCCCAGTATGACATATATTTATTAATCTCATATCAAATACTACCAAAGAATATCTTTAAAATAATTAGTAGTTGAATATATTTAATGATTATATTTAATAATTTAGAATATGTTTAATATTACTAAAAAAAAATCATTGCAGTCTACTAAGAGTTACATACTTACATTTACATGTAACATTAATATTACTGTAGTTAGAATAATAGACGTGATCATCCTGAAAAATAATTCTAAACAATATTTAGACTGACTTTTAGACAACTTTCATAACAATAAATGGTATATATTAAGGATCCAATTAAAATTCAAAAACTTACGCTTTAAAACAAATACAATTTTGATGGATTTTACAAAATATCTAAAATATTTATAAAATAATAATTTACTAATAATTTCAATTTAAACTACTTAATTTCTCTCGGAAGAAAATGTTATTTGAACCAATATGCACATATTGATTTTTAATGAAAATTAGAATATTATTTACCCAATATAACTGTATACTATTTTAATTGCAATAGAGTTATTTAAAAATAAAATTCTAACATTTTCTAAATTTTCTAAAAAATCCATTATTTATTAAATATTTTAAACATTTGAACTTTAAAAGTTGTATTATAGATTAAGCGATCTGATAGTAAGTCATTCGTAGAATAATTATTGTACATCATGATGAATAATAAGTAACTGACAATTAGACTAAAAATTGAAATATTTTGACGTAATTCTAATAGAAAATTATTTATAATATAAAGGAAATTATTATTTAATAATAATATATATTATATATCATAAGAAATTGTAAAAAAATATTATGCAAATTTTATAATTTATGTGTGAAATTCTAAAAAAATTATTAATCATATACAATCATACATAGATACAATATATCTATATTTCCTATATTTTATAATCGTGATAATTTAAAATTACTTGGATTATAATTTTATAAATAAAAAATTATCACTAGTTTTGTTAATCTCTAAAAAGTTGACTTTATTTTTGTAATATTTAAAAGAAAAATATATCTTATAACGCTAAACAATTTTGTTAATTGTTATTAACTATAATTATTTAAAACGTGAACTTTTTAGCCAGTAATAAATCAATAAAATTATTATAATATCATAAATTATTATTACAATAACAATCAAATAGCAAAATAAAATATAAGAGTCAAGAAATGAAAATATTTAATTTAAAATTTTAATTATTGCATTTAATGAAATTATTATTATTAGAACTTAAGTAATGTAAGGTCAATGAACGGTTATAAATTTATTGATTTCAACTCGTGTACATTAATTATATGAACCGCAATAACCATTTGTTAAAAAATGTTAGCTCTTTCAAATTTGCAGTACAAAGTGTACAATTATTAATTATATTACATACTACATTTAATTTTATCAACAGCATATATTGAAAAACGTTTTAGTTATTTTTATACATATTATTTATATATATAAAAAAATAATATGTATGAAAATAACTAAAAAATATATATGATATATAAATATAAACTATTTATATTTAAAATTTTAATATGAAATATTGTACGAATTCCGTCGTGGAACTACACTTGTCAAGAAAATATTAAAAACGCCTAGATACAGAGTTCAGTTCAATTTAAAACTGAATACATAATATTTAAGTAGTACAATGTTACCGATTTACAAATATAATAACATAAGTAATTAACGATTAAAAAAAAAGTCTCCTAAACAAATAGTTCAACCAAGACGAATTATATTTGCAATCCGTTTCCACTTGAAATATTTGAATTTTTTATTGATTTTCAAGTACAATATATTGATTCTGCTTATATATTTTATATATATAGTATTTTATCGATAAGAAAAATATTGATCATGCCGTATAGTGCCTTCGGTTTAATTTGTAAAATTTAGCTATCATCATTTATGTTGATTCTGTAATTTTACAAAACATTTTTCGGTAGCAATTAATTTTAGTTTTTAAAATATGTTTCATTAAATACTTAACTCGTAAATACTAAAAAACATCAGAATATTTTACCATAGAAATTTTACCCTCACATACAAAGAAATAAAATAATTCATTAAGCTAATATACATTTTAGAAGAGATGATTGGAATGGTTGGATGCAACGGGTATTCATATATGAAGACTCTAGCATTAAAGAAAGAAGAGAGGAAGTCTTACAACTTGTCACTATGACAAGGCTTAGCCATAATAAAAGAAGAAGAATATACAATTAATATATTTTTTAAATAATTTCTGTAAATATTGATTTCTTAGACTTAGATTTGAACTTCTGCCTATAATACTACTTGTATAATAGATATAATACTATAATAGATATAAAAGTAACTATTATTTTTTTATATGCATTTGTAAATGTATGTAATTCATATTAACATTTTTTAATTTATTTAATTTTCGAAATAAATCATCAATTAACTGCAAGTGAATACTTCTTATTGATTTGTGCATCGATTTTATAGCAATGCAGTCGATATCTGGCCGAATTAATATATAAATATAATCGGTTAAATTTGTAAAGGTAATCCTTAATAAAGTAAATGTATCATATATTTTTATAAAACCATAATATACAATAAATAGTTACAAATAGTTAATACAAACAATAAATAGTTTTACTATCAATTAGATGACATTTTCTTATAAATACTTGAGTTTTAAAGATTTTTTTGTCGAAATCAATTCTAAATTATTTACACAAATAATGACAATTTAGCACGACGTATTAATTTTCAAATATTACATTTTCATATATTATTACTCTAATAGTATTTTTAAAATATTTCAAATCTGACTATTTATTTGATTAAAAATTTGGGACTATCGAACACGACAAAGTTAACTGTCAGTAATATTAATAATACATTTATAGTGATAAAGATCTGACAGATATAGATGATATAATTACGAGTTCCGTCAAGTATTTTATTTAACAATTGAATAGTTTATTTTTTATTTTACACAAATATAATATTTATATATAGGTATACATATATTAGTGTAAAATATAAAATGTATACAATTATTTTCGTGTGAAATAAAAAGTTTACCACAAAAATTTAAACTGGAGTTTTTGTCTTTCACGGTAGACATTTGTTGAAATAAGCAAAAATCACCACTTGGAGCGAAAATTCTTTCCCTAATATTTGAATTAATTTCTTCTGAATCTTCATTTTTATGCTGTTCTTATCCAAGCTCAAGTCTTGTTATAGAAAATATGCTAATTTAAACGAAAACCGTGAAAACAACCAAACAACCAAACAAGAGAAAATAGGGCTGAACAAAATTAAATAACAGATCTTTAATAACAATAAAAAGATAAAAACCCAACTACATTCTAGATTGTATACCATCTTTGAGTAGTCCGACATCTGAGGAAGAAAAGCGTTTGAACTGCCGAATGTGGGAATCAACAATGTCAAGTAACTGCTCTGAAACCGCGATAGTTAATATGACCACCTTGATCAGTTATAGGTTTCTATGTATCTATATTATATATACTCGTATTCTGTTGGTCATTTAAGTCCAGTGTTTCCAACTGGAGGAAAACTACTAAATTTTATGTTGTTTAACATTGCAAAGCTTTTGCTTTAATTACATTTAAATGTATATATTATTTGAATAAAAAAATTAAGTATATTCTATTATATTTGTAAATAATGATGATTACAAATATGCATAATAATTTCTTAGACATAGTTTTGATTATTAAGCCGCGTTTACCCACAAATATTTTACAAACGTTTGGTCAAACGTTCCTCAAACATCCAAAATATCAAATAAACATGTTTGTTGAATGTTTGATTGGTATAGACATGTACCCAAACAATTTTGTTTGTCAATGTCCCAAACAAAATTTTTCGCTAATTATTCGAATATTATGGCATACATTTTATGAGAAATAAAATGATTTCATACAAATAACTGTTTATTTACTATTTATTATTTGTAATATACACTTGAGAGTGGGGTTGATATTTAAAATCGTCCCCTTCATGAAATTTAGTCAAAACCATAAAATTATTAAAAAATCACTTGCGTGTAAATCCAAAATGAAACGCTCATCACTTTAAGTTTTTCGGCGTTGTAGTAGTTGTCATACCCAGTGCTGTATTGAGACATTTTACGCTTCGCACAAAAAAAAAAAAAAATTGGCGCCCCTTTAAAGGGCCTACTCACGGAAAATATAGGAGATATATCCTCATAAACCTTTTAGATATGGTATTCTAAAATCAATGCTATTTTTGTGTAATA